AACCTGTTGAGCATCTATCACGTGCCAGAGACTTTTCTAGGCTAGAGATGTAGCATCTAATGTCACCCTCTAATTTTGTGCAATTAGAGACCAGTTACTAAAAACCTAAAACTCTCCTATTCAGCCACTGTCACCCTCTTTAGTTATCTACTCATCAAAGGGGTATATATGTATAATTGCATGGTGTTTGAGGTGAAGAGTGACATGAGATGAGGTTGTCAGGGGCCAATCGTGCAAGTTTTAGAAAGTCAAGTTAAAGACCTTTGATTTTAGGTTGAGTGCGGTGGCTCATGCCTGTAATCCCAGCAATTTGGGAGGCGGATGTGGGCACGTGGCTTGAGCTCAGGAGTTGGAAACTGGCTTGGCCAACATAGCAAAATCCCATCTCTACTGCAAATACAAAAAATAACTGGGCATGGTGGTATGCGCCAGTAACCCCAACGAGGGAGGCTGTGGTGGGAGTATCTTTTGAACCTGGGAGGCAGAGGCTGCAGTGAGCTGAGACTGTGCCACTGCACTCCAGTGTGGGTGACAGAGCAAAACTCTGACTCAAAAAAAAAAAAAGACCTTAGATTCTAAGTGGAATGGGGAGTTGTTGAAGGTACTAGAGAGGTAGAGAAAGTAGAAGGACAGGAAAGTGACATTCTCCATTTTTTTCCCTATCAGCACTCTCTATTACCTAATGCCAGAAAACTTCAGAGCAATAGCAATTAATTTGTATAATATGCACTATGATAAGCTAAATAAATAACTAGAATGGTTTCTATCACAACAAAAGACAAAATTACAGTGAGTATTATTTTAGTGTTAAAAGTACTATGCTGCATAATTGTTTAAAAGCTAGCATTTAAATTATGATCTGTATTTGAATTATGAAATGTAAACTTTCCCTAACTAGAATATTTAATTTACCAGAACAGCTGAATACCTCAACAATTTTTAACTATTAAAAGTTTTGTTGTTGTGACAGTAATAAGCCAATTCCGAGTTTTTAGCACTTCAGAGTTTTCCAATTGTGACAATATGTAAATATACCAATTTTGACAATCTTAACTGGAATTTAAACCAATTTAGAGCTTAGAGCCTTCTTTTTAAATCTCCATAATTCCTGAACTCAAACCCTCACAGAGTTTTTTATATTGTCAGTCAGGCATGACATCAGATTTTAGCTTTACTAAAATCTAACTAGCTGTGTAATACAGAAAAAAATCATTTACTCTCTCAAGAATACTGTTTCTATGCCTTCTTCACATGATTATTACATTAAAAGAGAAAATGGGTTTGGATATATACATAAAATGCCACCCAAGAAAAAATTAATATCATTTATTGATATAATTATAATTACCATTTTAATTGAGAGTTGAGAAATAGTAAAGTGTCATAGTATATACATCATATAAAAGTAAAGAATCCAACCCTCTTCAAATGCTAAGGTCTTTTTCTTCCTTTGTTAATACAAAACGGGGAGGAAAATCCACATCTCTTCACAAACCATCTAACACTATGCTTTCCAATTCCTTCTGTTATAGTTTGGATGTTTGTCTTGCACATCTCATGTTGATATTTGATCCCGGATGTTGGAGGTGGCGCCCAGTGGGAAGTGTTCGGGTCATGGGATTGATCCCTCATGAATGGTTTGGTATCATTCTCAAAGCAGTGAATGAGTTTTCACTCTGTTAGTTTCTATGAGAACTGTTTAAAAAGAACCTGGCATATCCTCCACTCCTCTCTCTTGCTTTCTCTTGCCATGTGATCTCTGCACACACTGGCTTTATTTCATTTTCTGCCAAGAGTGGAAGCAGCCTGAGGTCCTCACCAGAAGCAGATGCTGGTGCTGTGCTTATTGCGCAGCTCGCAGAACTGGACGCCAAATACACCTTCTTTTCCTTATAACTTACCCAGTCTCAAGTGTTTCCTTATAGCAACACAAGTGGACTAGGACACCTTCTGCCGAATAACATTAACTCTAAGATTCTGTAACATCTTATTTAATTTTTAATAATCTATCAAGATAATCTTGTGTTCACAAGAGGCATGTATAAACTAAAGCTGAATCCATCATCTTCTTCTCCAGCCAGTTCTTTTGCCAGGGTTCCCACTTTAAGGAAAGTGGGGCCATCATTCTCCAAGATGCTCCAACTAGAAACCTAAGATGTATCTTTGATTTTTCTTTTCCATAGCCAAACCATCAGGGAGTGCTGTTACGTCTTTTTCTTGTGTGTATCCAATCTGTTCACATGGGCTTCTCCCATGAAGCTATCTCCTTTGAGACATGGCCTCCAAGATTACCATGGAAAAGGAAGAGATTGTAAGGAAGTCACCTCAGACACTTTACCACTTCAGCTGGGAAGAGACAGAATTGTGCTTATATGCTATGGACCAGCAGGAGTTTGGCTTATGTGCCATGAGGCCTCACCTAGATATGAGACACTGGAAACAAAGTTTTCCCACTTCCCAGCAACAGCTCTGCACTACACAGAAGGGAAGCTTGGCTCTTTGGAAGTCTACTAGCTGTTGTTTTCAAACCCCATGATCTCTTCTCTGCAGCCCTGAGCTCTAGTCCCACATACTTAACTGGTTCTGCCATTTACTACTCATGTTACAAGGAATAAACTTATACTTATCTCAGCTGCAGTATTCATATCCAGAAAATGGATCTTATCCCACAGGTTAGCTATGAAGACTAAATAAATCATGCATGCAAAAACTTATCAAAATCAATGACTTACTGTAACAAATACATATTTTCTAATTTTTATTTTTTATTCCCAGAGGTTGTTGGGGAATAGGTAGTGCTTGGTTACATGAATAAATTCTTCTGAGATTTTGGTGCACCCATCACCCGAGTAGTATAAACTGTACCCAGTTTGTAGTCTTTTATCCCTTACCCTCGTCCCACCTTTTCCCCCCAAGTTTCCAAAGTCCATTGCATTATTCTTATGCCTTTGCATCCTTATAGCTTAGCTTCTACTTATGAGTGAGAGCATACAATGTTTGATTTTCCATTCCTGAGTTCATCACTTAGAATAATGGTCTCCAATTCCATCCAGGTCACTGCAAATGCCATCATTTAAATCCTTTTAATGCAATAAATATTTTTGAAAAATTAAATATGAATGTAAAGTCTGACTGCAGAATAATCCTTAAAATCAATGGAATTAAAAAAAATTGCTGGGCACGGTGGCTCACGCCTGTAATCGCAGCACTTTGGGAGGCTGAGGCGGGCAGATCACAAGGTCAAGAGATGGAGACCATCCTGGCCATGGTGAAACCCCGTCTTTACTAAAAATACAAAAATTAGCTGGGCGTAGTGGCACGTGCCTATGGTCCCAGCTACTCAGGAGGCTGAGGCAGAAGAATTGCTTGAACCCAGGAGGCGGAGGTTGCAGTAAGCCGAGATTGTGCCACTGCACTCCAGGCTGGTGACAGAGCAAGACTCTGTCTCAAAAAAAAAAAAAAAATAATAATAATAATCTATACTGCGGCTTACTGATTCCTTTTTTCCCCAAAAGATGATGGTTGAAGAAGACTTTAAAGTTTTTTATTTCCTTCTTTTTCTTACTAAAATCCTAATTTAAGCAAAACAATTATTGTTCTTGTATGGGGACTTTTAACCAGTTTCCACTGAAGGATGAGAAAGGGGCAATGATAAGATACAACTAATGGGTAGCTAAATTACATAACATCAGGGAAGAGATTAATGTTTGGTTCAGTAAGATGAGCAAAACCAAAGTCCAGGGAGATTCAGACAACAGGCTCAGAGCCACACAGAGCGTTTTAGAGGAGCCTGGTCTCAAACTTTCATCCCTTTACTTCAGTTTAGTACACTTTACCAAGTTGCTTCATTAAACATGAGTGGGTGTATGTGTGTAATAAATAACTGTAGATAAACACATAGAAAAATAAATGTTGATATATTTATCCAGAGGAAATACAAACTCATAACTAGTTTCTGTAGTACTCCAGCATATAAAGTAGTTTTGGATTTTTTGAGTATGGTTTTTTTTTATCTATTTCTATACCAAATATATCTAATTACTTTCTAGATGTCTAGAACAGTGTAGTGAACCCTATTTGGTATTTCCTGAAAATCTGACTCACATTTCCAGTGACCTTAATAGCTTTTTAGATAAAATTTTGCCTAGCATTTTGATTACATTTTCTGTTAAGTGCTCTAAAAAGACTTTCAACTGATGAGATTATCACTTCAAAGGCAGAAGGAAAGTAAAGGGTGACTTTAATAATGATGAAAAAAACAGAATAAGATATCATTAGAAATGGGGTCTGCAGAGAAGCCAAGATCCAAATGCCTAATCTGAATTAAGCTAATTGTGTGGTGCTTTCCACAAATGTATTTTGTTTTTTTCTAAAATAGTCACATTTACAAGAGAAATTATATGCTTAACTCAAAAGTTTGCTAGCATCCTAGTCAAGCTGGCCCAGATATTTTTCCTCTGAAACTCAACTGGAACCAGAGGCTAGCTCTAGTCCCTTCTGCTGACGTGCTAGCCATCTAAATACCTCCACACATCTTCACTTCTATCGTTTGGTTTAAGTAGAGCAAACCTCTGTGATTTCATAAGAATTCAATCTGTTATGAAGTCACCAGAACACAGAACTCCTTACTTGGCATGGCATTAGGACCTGGTCCACTATATTTCTCCAGTTTTATCTGTCACTGTAACTCTTTAAGCACTCCACTCTGAAATCAAACAAAAATTCTTTCTATTCCCTAAGCAAGTCTGCACATTTGTGGTCTACGTATTTGGTTCTTCTTGGATGACTCTCTCTTTGGATGAACTTGTTTTCAAACTATGGCCAGAGAAACCTTCCCCTTCTCAAGCTGGCTCAGAAATGCCCCACTATACCTGCTGGAAGTTGGATTTCGAAATGGATATTTTTTCCCTCAGATTCTTCCAAATTTCACTTAAGACTTTGTTATAAAACATATCCAATTTTGCCTCATATTACAGTTTATATTGTCTTTGTTCTTTCAGATTTTAAGTCGCTCAAAGGCATTCATCTTATCTGATTCATCTTGTGCCCACTGGTGATTCTAATTCAGTGTCCTGACTGCAGGTGGAACATTCACTATGTTGAGAAGAGGGCTCCAAGCCAAGAAAAGGCTCAGGTGTCAAAAGTGACCTTCATCCCTGTGGGATATGTGACCAAACCAGGAGCTTTTAAATTAAGACTTCTTCCATCACTGAGACAAGAACCTCTATTAAATACTTACTTGCTAATCTGCACTTTTAAAAGAGCATGTATCATAAATACAATGAACACCCTAAAAATACAGCAAAGTAAATAAAGAGGTAAAATAAATAAAGAAGGAAAAATGAGATAAGGCATGGCAATGCCTCTTCCCTCCTGTTTTAAGGTCAGCGAAAATCTTGTTAATCTCCTTTTCCAGACTAGAAAATCAGCAGAAAATTAGAATGAGCCAAGGGGGCAAATTTAAAGATAATATTAATGGGAGCTGCCAGAGAGGAAATGACACATCATACACTGCAGAAAACCAGAGAGCTTTTATCTTCAGGCCACCAGCCCAAAGCAGAACAACAGTGTCTAATAGCTGAATTATAGCACAGCATGTTAATTGATATTCTAAATGATGATCAATGTAAAAGTGCTTTTTAAATGGTTTTAAATAGTCACAAAAATGTAACTTTTCATCATCAAAATATAGGTTATGTGTAATGACCTTTGTTTAAGAAACGTACTAATAAGAATACATATACATATATTACAAATTAGAAATATTATCATCAGGTTTTATGAGGTTTTAAAGGACACACCTTAATCTCCTAGAAAATGAGATTCTGTGAAATAAGGAGAGCTAAATTTAAGCCAGCATTTAAAAAATACCTACCATGTACTTTTCATGCATTATCACACTAAACTCACAGCACTACACTGTGAAGTGGGCAGAAGCATCTCCACTTTGCAGATGAGGAAGACCTCTCCGAGAAGTCCTGCAGTCTGCCAACATGGCATGGATAGAAAGCGATGAGGCTGGGCTCACATTCGGGCTCATGGAAACCCAAGTCCTGTATTCTTGCCCCCTTTTCACTCTGTCTGGATGGATGGCTGAGAAGTGGGCATGTGGTGTACACAGTGCCTTGCCCATGCACATGCTCAACTCAGCTAACATACTCTTTGGTGATCCCCTCGTGCATCCCTATTCTCCTCTCTCAGCCCTCCTGGGAACATCTGCTGTATCTGGTCTGTTCTCTCTGGTCTACTCAATTCTCTTGCTAGCATTGTTATAAAGAAAAAAAATTAAACGAAGAGAGAAAACAAAAAAAGCAATAGCAAGAACTGTCAGTGACTGGCAAATGGGAACCAAATATTCCCTTTTTAAGTAGTGCTCACTTTTTAAGTAGGCTTCACCTCTAAAGAATATGAATATGAAGGGGTCAGTTGTCAGGCATCTTTGTGGAGGGTGTCCCCTCGTGGTGGTGGGGGAGAGGGGCATTACTCTAGACCTTTCAGGGAATCCCTTGTTACAGAATATATCCAGCCAAACAATCAGAGGGCAAAGGGAAAAGCAATACTGTTTCTATTTCTGAATTGTCAGTTTTATTTTAGTGACAGAGTGACAGAGATGACTTCTGGTTTTTCACTTCAAATCCTCTTAGCCATCAATTTCCAGCCAAACCCACCCCAACACTATGGTGCACCCTCTGCCATTCAGCTAATGGCCAATGGTTGGCCACGTCTGAAATAGCTTGCTGTCATTGTCTGCCTGAGGTCACTCCCTAGTATTTAGCAGGTTTTATTTATAAATAATGCATATGCAAGGATGCTGGGCTACCTGAACACTGTGGGTGATAAAACTCCAAGTCTTGGTTTTTTGTCCTCAAAGAACTTGTCATTTGAGATAACAGTGTTTCATTTTTGAACTATGAGGGAGCGAGGAAAAGTTTATGGTTAGAAGAGTACCATAAACTCAAGCATATTTCATCAGCAATTAAGAAGCAACTTGGAAAGTCTGCTTGAATTCTGTTATTGAAAATCAAATTTAGTAAAATTCTTATTAGAACATGGTACAGTTCACATAAATGGTGCCTGGTTCTAATCCTTTTTTCATTAGGGCACGTCTTTTAAGATTCTAGGAAAAACATATTCCTGAACATGGTATAATAAGCCTTACACCATGTGGCAGTGACTCTTAATCTCATCTTGGTCACAAACTCCAGTGAGAATCTAATAAAAGCTATAAATCCTCTCATAAAATAGAGGCAAAACATATCTACCAATCTGTGTATAACATTCTTGGGAGTTTACAGGCTGCCTGAATATATCTGCAAATCCCAATTTAACTCTCTCACTCTACAGGAACTCAATATACATATTTTTTGCATTAATGTGTAAAAACAGTGAATAATAGATTATCTTGGCAGGGACAACCCAGCTATGCTGAGCATTATGATGACCCTTTGTCAGATACTAAATGAGTTGCTTAACACCTTGGAAGGAATCAGAGCCTGAGTCAAGCTTAGAATACAGAGTGTCTGTCCCTGGACTTATGATGATGGATGCTGTAAATTACAGTCAATCAGCCAAGTCCTGTCACATCTCCCTCACGGAGCCTTCCTATTTTTCCTCTGGCTGTCTAGTCATCCATCTGTTTCTATTACACAGCCGCAGTGCTTTTGCTGGACCTGCAGCTTTCAAAGCTAAGCAGAAGGGGGAAAAAACCCCCGAACTAGTTATTTCAGAAGCAGAAATAGAAATAAAGAGCTTGATAATTACCAACGATGGTAAAGGAAAAAACAGACATAGTTCCTACTCTGTGCTAGTTATTTAATACAATGCTAAACCCTTTTCCATACCTTATCTTGTTTAATCCTTAAATAAATCCTGATGGATAGGTATTATCCATCAGCTTTTTACATATGGGTAGCCAGAGGTTCTGAGAGATTAACTGACTCATGTAAGACCCCATGGTGAATAAATGGGACTAAGATTTAAATATATTTGAGCTTGACTACAGGCCTAGTATTTTTTCCTGCTGTATAATGCCTATTTAAAAAAAAATCTGAGACGTAAGTTCATACTTCCTGTATTTAGAAATTATCAATGTCTGAGAAACCTCAGATCTTGCCTAGATGAACAGATTTGCATGGAGGGAGGAAAAAGGGTGACTTACACCTTCGAGAATACTCAGGTGAATTCCAGCATTAAGGTCAGGTGGTCTTGGCTGAACCACAAAACAATCAAAATCTTACTTGGAGAACTGGGCCTCAGTCCTGGAGCGTACAGAGTCACACTGCCTGTTCTCTCAAGACACGGCTACTATCACAAAGATATCAGTGGTATTGAGTAGTAATACTAAAACGTTGTATCCTCTTTCCATTCACCCCAGACACTAAACTATCCTTCACCTGTATGTCCTTCTGGATCAAAAATAAAAACCTTGATGAAATTTCATGACCAGAATACCAGCTTGTTTGGGGTATAAAGGGGTTGTGATTCATTGTTTAAGCTTTGTTAGTTAAGGGCTCTGAGGCACACTAGATAGCACAGTAATTTTGTAATATCCGAACTGATGCTTCCTCCTATATCCCTTTAAAACACATTTTGGTATAATGGCTGTGGCATCAGTCTCCTTAATTCAAGTATCTACGTTAAAAACAAAGCCACATCACAGTTCTTTAGGGAGATGACTTGAGGGTGTCACATCTCTCTTGTCTGCCTTGACAACTTCCCATTTATACATTTTTAAAAATTTCTCTACCCCTTAAGGGAGGTAAGTGGGGTAAGGTAAGGGGCTTTATCTGGGGAATTACTGCCATAGAGCAATTGCCTGGTCAGATAAAAAGCCTTTAATGTCTATTCAGATGATGTCTTCCAAAGTCACACACAGAAGGATGAAGTGATTGCTGTGTATAAAGAAATAAAAACATTTGCTACTTGTTAATAACACTGAATAAGAAGACAGTGACAGGAGATGGGGCTAAAAAGATAGGTAAGAGTCAGATCATGGGTTCCCTTGTTCCATGGAAGTGGCTTGGACTTCATTCTGCAGGTTCCTGGGAAGCAAATGTAAGGTTTTAGTGAAACATTTATGGTGTTAGATTTGTACATGGCAGGGAAGATGAAGTGAAGAGCAAAGACTAGACACAAGGACACCAGTTTAGAGACCATGGTGACAATTTAGTCAAGAGATAAGATAGGAGCCCTAAAAGAGGACAGTGCTATAGAAATGGAGAAGTAGAAAAATAGTGGATTAAAGAATCATTTAGGAGATAAAGTAGAAAAAACTAAGTGAATGATTGTATGTTGGGTTGAGGGAGTGGGAAGAACTCAAAATGATTCATAGGCAGAAGTAAGGGGCTACAGATTGACCTGGGAAGACTGAGATGTCTCAGACTGTGCTAACAACCAGTTAACCCACTGCTCATCCAATTCAGTAACTCACGTTTTTACATAGTGGTGATAGTTTGTGGATTGGATATTCATTACATCACATATTTCATCATCCCAACCATCCTATGACTTAAGTATTATTTTGTTTATTTACTATTGGATAAGAAAATGGGTTGAAAAAAAGTTAAACTTGGTCAAGGTCACATAACAAAGCAATGGTAGAGTGAGGGCTCAGACACACATTTACACAGCTAAATGTAAAAGAAAAATGACTTCTTTTTAAATTAAACCTTATAAAATTGTCCATTTTGACTATTTTGGTATTTTCATGTTATTTCACTTGGCAACATGCTATGTTGTTTCTCTATGGAGGAGTCTCATTGTCTGAGACGACCATGACGGAAATGCTTTTTCATTCATTATTTTGGCATCTTTCTTTTGCTGGTGAATTGTAGTGGTTTCTTTCATGGAATATTTTGCTACACTATGAGATGAAACTCAGAACTCTGGTAATAAATCCAAGGAGTGAGTTTAGTGCTAGTAACTTCTTTGATCAGTAGAAATGTGTCCTTCCTTCCCCAGCACCTTTTCTTCTTAAACGTCTCATCATATTTAGCTTATCTTAGAAGTGTTTTTCCAGAGATAGATCCTACCTATCTCACCACATTACCAGGAAAGTAAAATAAGATAATACATATAATGGGGATTGATAAACTGTAAAGTGCTGCCCAACACATATTTCTGTGTTGTTATTCTCTAGTCAGTAATGGAATAAAAGGAAAGAAGACAAAAAAACAGTAGTCAACATCCTCCAGACTCCTTTCTGATTCTTAGTATATTCCCCACATTAGCACATTCCAAAGTTTATCTGAGGTTGATAAAGCACTTAGGTGTTGATTATATCTAGCCATGGAAAATGAAAAGAAAATCCTCCATAGCAACTTTTCTTAATAAGATATTGGGGAAAGTTGGAAAGTAATTGTTTAGACATA